CACACACACACACACACACACACACACACACACACACACACACACACACTCTCTCTCTCTCTCTCTCTCTCTCTCTCTCTGGATTCACGCTCAAGTATTCACACGCACACACACACACACACACACTCTCTAGATTCGCTCTTTAGCGCTGCCCTTGTGGCTCCCTGAAGCTTTTTAAAAATGTTTGAAAATGGAAAAAGATGGGGGAGGTTAATATATATTTTTGTGTTTTAATATGATTTCTATAGCAGGACAAACATTTTTAACGTTTTCAAATGCTGTAAAAGTGTTTAGAATTAATATTTAATTACAACATTTCTGTCAACGAAGATTTGCGTCATAGCCTGCGACACACGTTTCTATCAGCAAGGCGGGATGCCAGGCAGGTGGCTGTTGTAAACAAACCGGGAGATAATAAAGCACGGAAAACCGTTCACAGATGGCGACTACATGAAGGAGTCATTCATCAAAATATTAGAACACCTATTTGCAGACTTCAAAAACAAAACCAAGATAATACAAAAATTAAAGACATACCTTTCTCCGCTAAACAGTGAAGGAAAGGGCTATTAAAATGGCAGTAACATCACCGATCAGCAAACCAAGAACATTAATTCAGTGCCAGTATACTCAATTGCCTGTACTGTGACCATTATTCAACGCGCTTTTATGCAGGTATGTGAACTCTGATGGGCCGCAAGAAGAAATGATCAAATTAATACCACTAATAAGACAAGAGGCTGTGCTGAAGTGTTTAAATGACAACACAATAAACACCAACCACCTGATTTCAGTGGCTATTTAATCATGAAGGCTCATTATGTATTTGTAGCCAACTTACTCATTTATTTAGTAGGCTAATATAGCTAATATAGATACATACAGCATGTGTTTCCTTCATTATAAGGCTTATATAAGACTTTACATTTTTTTGTGGCTCCAGGCATATTTGTTTTTTGTTTTTTTTGGTCCAATATGGCTCTTTCAACATTTTGGGTTGCCGACCCCTGATCTAGACGCACTCATCTATACTCTCACATTATGATGAACATGTGTGATGCTATATGACTGTTGAGCACTAGATGGCAGCAGTGTGTCTGCATCTAGTGCTGTCTGAGGTGATGCTTCTCTTTTAATTGCACAGTGTGTCATTTTTAATAACCAGGCTTCTTTGTTAATTATAATTAATTATTTTGCATGTAAAGCGTTTATTACTGATGATTACCGTATTTGATTTGGTTGATTTTTGTCTCAGCTGGTGTGATTTCTGAATGCGCTGATATGATCATACGTGTATATTCAGGCTCCACTAATCGCCAGTTCATTCATTATCTCTAATCAAACCACTGTCAGTAATGTGGGAATCCCAGCAGAAGCAGATCTGAAAACCGTCCTATCAGAAGCCATCGGTTCAGATACAATCTGCATAAATTAAATCCTTTTATTTTGAAGCACAGTTCTTTTCACTGATTTATTTGCTTGTGTAATGTTGAATATTGGGTAAATATGAGCTCCACTGGATGTAATGTTTCATTATTATTGTTTTTCTCCTCGTCTCTGTGGTTTCTCAGCCAGATGAGTTGAGTTTCCGGGTAAGATCTGCTGTAAATTTGACTGTTTTTGTGTCACTTATTACAAATGCATGTGGTTCAGTGATGACAAGTGATAGTTTAATCATCAAAACAACAGAACGTGTAATGCAAAAAAAAAATAAAAATAAAAAAAAAATAAATAAATAAAAAATTTATATATATATATATATATATATATATATATATATATAATTTATTATTATATTTTTAGCACTTTAGAATGAATAAAATAGTTTTTTTTTTATAGTTTACAGAAAAATCCTGTCAGTAATTTTGAGAACAAGAATAAAATTAGATATTAAAAGAGGCCCTGACATACACATTAATTATCATTTGAATTTTTTATATTTTCCACTTTCCACTTCCATCACGCCACTAGGTTTCTTTATCAGCTAAATAAATAAATAAATAATTTATTAAATACTGGTTAAAATAACAATATTGTATTTTTATAGAAATGTGTGTTGCACTGAGCCATTTTCACCATATTTTGACATTTAATTTTTTTCGTATTTGACAAATAGGTGAAATAAGATCTCCCATCTCTTTATTAAAGCTCTTTATCTTCAACAAAGTATAATAACAAATATTTAAGCAATATTTAAAAAGAACTAGAACTAGTGGTTAGAAAATCACCACACCCGTTTTAGCAATTGCCGTGCACGTCTTTTTATTGATTTTATTACATTTCTGTAAAGGGAAATAAAAATTGTATTTATTAAATTAATATATTACAAAAGCTTTTTAATTTCAATTTCAATAAAAAAATTTAATTAAAGTTATATGTGTTGAATTAAAATTAAGAAGCATATTTGCAAAGTTTATTTTTTATTATTATAATTAAAATTATATTTATTAAATTAAAATTTAAATATTATGACAGCTTTTTTATTTACAATCTTTATTTTTATTGTTATAAAAAATATATTTATTAAATTAAAATTAAATAGTTATAACAAAGCTTTTTATTTTCAATGTTTATTTTTATTATTATAATTAAAACTATATTTATTAAATTGAAAAGTTATAACAAGATTTTATTTACAATAATTTTTTATTATTATGATTAAAATTATAGTTATTAAACTAAAATTTAAATATTATAACAAAGCTTTTTACTTGCTATGTTTATTTTTTAAAGAGAAATTAAATCTATTATATTAAAAATAAAGTTATAACAAGATTTTATTTACAGTCTTTATTTTTTATAATTATAATTAAAATAATATTTATTAAATAAAACTTTAACTTTGTGTTGAAAATTAAGAAATGTTTATTTTTTATAATAATTAAAACTATATTTATTAAATCAAAATTGATATACTATAACAAGCTTTTTATTTGCAATCTTTATATTTGTATTATTATAATTAAAATTATATCATTAAATTAAAATAAAAAGTTTTAACAAAAGATTTTATTTACAATCTTTATTTTTTATTATTATTATTTAAATAATTGATTTTTAATTAAAATTTAAATATTATAACAAAGCTTTTTATTTGCAATGTTTATTTTTTATTTTTTTAAAGGAAATTTATATTTATTTATTTTATTAAAAATAAAAAGTTATAACAACTTTCTATTTGCATTTTTTTATTTTTTGGAAATTAAAATATATTTAGTTTTGCTCTCAAACCAAATATTTTCATTGACTAATAAATAAACAAATCTGACTCCATTTAGATTTACAGTATATATGTTTATTGCAATATTCTAAGTTTTTAAATTTGGGGGTTTAATTTTAGGGTTTAAATTTGTGAGGGTAATATTTGGCTTAGAAAGTATTTAGAGCAATAAAAGTCTGTGTGTGTGTGTGTGTGTGTGTTTGTGTTTGTTTCCAATTTTTATTTAAATCCTGTGCATTTGTGTAATTGATTTTTGTATTTTATTTTAGTCTAGTTTTGTATTTGTTTCATGCAACTACAGTACACACAAACAAACACACATATACAGGCAGTGCATGTGTGTGATATCCTACCTGCAGCTCAAGTGTGGTTTTGTTCTGCCCCATCGTGCTTTGTGTGTTGTGTATTTGCATCTGATGTTCATATCAAGTCTGTCATCACAGAAAGCTTTTGTCTTGCATGCCGCTCCACTCGTTCTATTGTGGACTTCTTCATTATCTGGCAGCTGCCATCATTTGTCAGGTACATCATGCAGAGTTGTGTTGAATTGCAGATGAGCTGGAGAGGTTGATGAGTTTATTCTGTGTCTCCATCAGGCCCGGCAGCTGAAGAAGAAGGAGAATGAGCTCAAACATCTGGAGCAGTTTTATAAAGAGCAGCTACAGCTGATGGAGAAGAAGGTAAACACACACACACACACACACACACAGTTGAATACAATAATGATTGTATAATAACAATAATACTGTTATTTATTTATAATTGTTTATATATTTATTACAAAAAAATAAAACATAAAATAAACAAATAAATATATGCATGTTTATTCTTTTATTTATTTATTTATTAATTTTAAGGGGGAGCTGTGCCCCAGTAGAGCTTTATGTCCAGCAATATGCCTGGTCTAATACAATATTCGGATACTTTAAAACGTCACATGACCTGACCTGCTGTTTATGATCTCATCATGCATCAGATGTTTGTGAGGTCATTTGCAGGGATGTCTTTGAGAGTTTGAAACGCAGCCAGCGAGTAATAATCTGCTGCTGAACACACACTCTGAGCGCTGGTGTTTCTACAGTGTCTGTTTGATGTGTGCGCTTCAGGCTGCAGATGATTTGTTCTCTCTGATGTTTCTCGCTCATGTTAGTGTGTCTGGAGTGTTTCTGCGTTTATAAATACTGTTGTGTTCATATATGGGATAGAGGAGATCGTCTCTAGCTGATCTGCAGCACTGATGCTTCTCATGAGCTGTGTGTGTGTATGTGTGTATGTGTATGTGTGTGTGTGTGTGTGTTATTTGGTTTGAGTGTTTGAAAGTGTATTTTCCATTTGTGTGTGAATGTATGTAGGTTGTGAATGTGTGTATGTCTGTGTGTGTGCGCATATGAGTGTTTTTGGTAGTGAGTGTGTATGTCTGTGTGTGAGTGTGTGTGTCTATTTAGTTGTAAGTGTCTATGTGTGTGTGAGCGTGCATTTGCCTTTGAATATATGTGTATGTCTGTGTGTGACAGTGTGTGTATGTGTGTGAGTGGGCACTTCTGAATGTGTGGATGCGTGTGTGTGTGTGTGTGTGTGTGTGTGTGTGTGAGTGAGAATTTTTCTCAGAGAGCTTAACTGAAGCGTTTCAGATTAGTGTGTGTAGGCTGAATCTTAAAAATGTGAGCCGTCATTTACAACTACACACACACTAACACACACACACACACACACACACACACACGGCAGCAGTTTAAATGCACACATGACAGACGAGAGCAGATTAAAGGTCTCACCTCAATAGAGCAGGAGACGGAGAAAAGACTTCAGCGCTACAGGAGTGTGTGTGTGTGAATGTGTGTGAGAGTTTGTGTGCAACAGAGTGTATGTATGAGAATCTGTATGTGTGTGTGTGTGTGTGTGTGTGTGTGTGTGTGTGTGTGTGTGTGTGTGTGTGTATGTATGTGTATGTGTATGTGTGTGTGTGTGTGTGTGTGTGTGTGTGTGTGTGTGTGTTTGTGTCAAAATAAATGTATGAGTCTATCTGTGTGTGCGTGCGTGTGTGTGTGTGCGCATGCGTGTGCGTGCGCATGTCAGAGTGTGTGTATGAGATCAGGGAGAGTGTGAATGGTACAATCTCTGACATGCTCTCACAGATTCTCAGAGTGTGTATAAAATATGTGTGCGCATGTATGAGAATCTTTCTGTGTGTGTGTGTGTGTGTGTGTGTGTGTGTGTGTGTAATAAAGTCTGTGTGTCTGCGGGTGGTTTGTCAGTGTGGGTATTAAGAATCTATGTGTGTTGGTATCTTTGTGTGTGTGTGTGTGTGTGTGTGTATGTGCACATGTAAGAGAGTGTATA